GGGTCCAAGAGAAGTGCATCGACAGCTCAGGCTCTTCCGCTTCAGCCAAGACTCCCTGGATTGCAGCGAGGAGCTTCCCGCTGGCTTCCTTCCCGCTCTTTTGGGGCATTGATTTGTTGTGGTTTCATAAGGAACACAAGGAACGTGGGTTTTGTGTTTGTGAGGTCAAGCTTGAAACTTGCATTTGATCAGATTTTAGCGCAACTTGAATGATTGCGCCCCTTGGCTGCACAATGTGTGTGTGTGTTTGGTTCATGCTTATCATGGTTGGGAGAGAATTGTTGCGGTTGTCGTTGCTGTTGTCATGACGGTTGTCGTTGCTGTCGCTGCTGTTGTTGCTGTTGTGGTTGTGGTTGTCGTTGTCGTTGTTGATTGGTTGTTTGTTTGTTTGTTTGTTTGTTTGTTTGTTTGTTTGTTTGATTGTTGGTTTGTTTGTTTGCTTGTTTGTTGGTTGGTTGGTTGGTTGGTTGCTGTTTGTTGTTTGTTTCTTGTTGCTTGTTGGTGGTTGTTGTTGTTTGTTTGTGATTGTTGTCGCTTGTTGTTGTGTGTTGTCGTGTGTTGCTGGTTGCTCTTGTTTGTTGGTCTTGTTTGTTTGTTTGTTTGTTTGTTTGTTTGCTTGCTTGCTTGCTGGCTTGCTTGCTTGCTTGCTTGCTTGTTTGTTTGTTTGTTTGTTTGTTTGTGTGTTGTGTCTTTGTTGTGTTTTGTGTGTATTATTGTTTTCTGTTGTTGTTGGTTGTTTGTTTGTTGTTGTGTGTTGTTTGTTCTTTGTTTGTTGTTGTTTGTTGTTTGTTCTTTGTTTGTTGTTGTTTGTTTGTTGTTTGTTTGTTGTTTGTCGTTTGCCGTTTGTTGTTTGTTCTTACTTGTGTTTGTTGTGTGCTGTTGTTTGTTGTTTGTTGTTTGTTTGTTGGTGTTTGTTGGTGTTTGTTGTTGTTTGTTGTTGTTTCTTCGCGTTTGTTGTTCTTGTTGTTGTTTGCTTTTGTTGCTGTTGTGTGTTACTTATTGATTGCTTGCTTGCTTGCTTGCTTGCTTGCTTGCTTGCTTGCTTGTTTGTTGTTGTTGCTGCTGCTGTTGCTGTTGCTGTTGGTGTTGCTGTTGTTGTTTTGCTGCTAGTGTTGCTATTGTTGGTGGTGCTGGTGTTGGTTGGTGTTGGTGGTGTTGGTTGGTGTTGGTTGGTGTTGGTTGGTGTTGGTTGGTGTTGGTTGGTGTTGGTTGGTGTTGGTTGGTGTTGGTTGGTGTTGGTTGGTGTTGGTTGGTGTTGGTTGGTGTTGGTTGGTGTTGGTTGGTGTTGGTTGGTGTTGGTGTTGGTTGGTGTTGGTTGGTGTTGGTTGGTGTTGGTGGCGTTGTTGGCGGTGCTGGTGCGTGTGTTGCTGTTGGTGTTGGTGTTGGTGTTGCTGTTGTTGTTTTTGCTTCTAGTGTTGCTGTTGTTGTTGGTGTTGGTGGCGGTGGTGGTGCAAGTGTTGCTGTTGCTGTTGCTGTTGTTGCCGTTCCTTCTTGGACTACAGCAACATGTACTTCTTGTTCCACCACTGCACGCTTCACACATTGATGTTCTGACATCACGGGTTTTACCGAGTCTTAGTCGGGTCCGCGAAGCTGTTGTGCGTCCAGGTCATGTGCACTCCTATTTCCGAGCAACCTGACCTTTTTTCAGAGGCTGACGTGGCATACCTGTGGCTGATGTGTTTTCAAAGGCAAACATGCCATGCCTTTTACGATTTCGAAAACAGCAAGTTGGACTCGTGGCAGATTTTTGTTTGCATTCTTGTAATCATGCCGAAGAGGATCCCCGGTTGGATGTTTCACTATTCTCCTGCTGTTTTGTTTCCTGATTCCACAGGGCTCCTTAAAAAGATACATTTTGCAACCAATTGAAGCATTGTTTTTTCAACACCAAAATAGAGGGAAACCATTTACAAGTTACAATGTTCAGGTGTTGTTCATGCATCCGGATCCCTTCATTTCGTATGGGCAAGCGCCAGAGCCACACCTGTCAGGAGCTCCTGGCATCTTTAGTGATGAGGGGCGTCCGCGGTGCCGACCGCTTAGAGATGAAGGCTCCGTTGCCTCGGAGTTCGGTTCCTGCGAAAATGGGCGGTGCCCATGCTTCCCTCCATATACCCAAAATATACGATTAGCGCCAACATAGAATGACCCCAAAACCCGAACATAGCCCGAAAAGAAAACAACAAACGCCGACCATCTCCTCAAGAGTCGTCGTTTTGATCATAGCCCCCTGAGACGGCCCTGAGAGGCTGACCCGCTGTTTCCCCTTCCCCTGTCCTAGATGAGCCCGGAGATGTGCACGGGGTCACTGTCAATGAGTCCATTGTGCCATGGGATCGAAATGGGGGTTGATCAAAAGGTCCGTGATACGTGGGATGACCATTGGTTGGAAGCCCACCCAACAAGGATGAGATGTCCCACATGGGAAACAAGTTACCCATGGTCAGAACAGAGGGCCCTAAATGGAAGATTGATCATATTGATCGACACCCCCTCAATTTTGGGGCCATCTGCCATTTTGCTCCCCAAAAGACTAAGCCCCAAATTTGCCAAGGAGGTGCCCACTTTTGCTGGTGTCATTGTTTTGACGGTTTCTGGGGGTTATCAAAGTCAGAAAATGGGGTTGTTTCCCTTTAACCCACCACTTAGGGGGTGACTTTGATCAGGGTCAATTCATGAGGCCACTCTTGACCTTCCATTTGCTTAAGATTTCTTTCCCCCTGTTGGTTTTAAAAGGACATCTATTTCACTACCGGAAACCATTTTCCAATTTTTTGCCAGGGGACTTCACCCAATGGACGTGACCCACCAGCGCGCGCTTCGCGCGCGCCAGGGCGGGCACCTGACGCCGGTGGTGGTCTCTCTGGAGGACGTGGGTACCATGGGAGGCGGTCGTGAGAGTCGCGCGAGCCGTTCAGACGGGCAGCCGAGAACCTCCAGTTGCAGAAGAATATGTTGTTTTCTTCCCTTGTTGGTTTTAAAAGGAAATCATCACTACTGGAAATATGTTTATGTTTGCCTGGGGCCGTAACCAAATGGAAGAGAAGGTCCCTGCCGAACCTTCGACCTTTTGCTTTGGCGGGGGCAGGTGTTTGTTGTTGATATTTGTGGATATTCGTTGATGTTGGTTTTGCAGGCATCCTTTGGTTTCAGCTTAGCAAAGGGTCTTATAAGCTGGTGACAGATTGTCCAAACCGGTCCTTTTCTCTGAGCCCGCCACATCAAGTTGCCAGTGACGTGCAACGACGTATCGGGGGAATTCCAGGCTTGCCCCAAGTCCGCGACCGTATCATTCACTGGGGGCCAATGTACGCAGAGCCGCTAGACACCGGTCCGGCAAGTTGCGATCCTCGATTTTCCTTTCAGACGCCCGAAAAGGTCAACAGGCAGACCTGAGATCCAAGAGGCCTGACATCCTGTTCGAATGCCAACGGGCGTACCCCAATTTGCTGGAGGTCTGGAGGTTCCATGTTTGGGCAATCTTCCTCAAAGATATCTTGCTTGGGCAACTTCCTCCCAACCGAAAACCTGTTCAAGTTTTTTTTGGGAAAGTTGTCTCCCAACCGAAACCCTGTTTCGCACCTTTTTTTTTTTTTTTTGGGGGGGGGGGGGGAAACGCGTTTTTCAGCGCGAGAAAAAGGACGTGGGGGGCGCGTCGCATGTCGCAGGCATGGCGCAGAACTTGGGCGACCGCCTCAAAGGCTTCTCCGCGAAGGTGGGCAGCGAAGTGGAGCTGGAGGACGGTGGAGCGGCTGGAGGGCGGTGTTGGGCCCCTAAGAGAGGGGTACGCTGTGGGCCCTAGTGTTTTCCATATGAAATGGTTGTTTTTGCCCTTCTGTCCCTCAAAGGGCCCCCAGTTTGGAGCATAGGGGGGTTAAAACCAATGAGATCTCATTTTGGTTGGTAGGTGAATTCACCACCCATTTTAGGCTTTATTTTAGTGGGGATTGGGATGTTGACTGGGGGTACGACATTTTGACCCATGGCCAAATGACTGGGGTGGATCCATATTCCCTGAAAGGGCCCCCAGCTTTGACCAAGGGTGACTGTTTCCCCATGGTGGTTGAAAGAAATATCATCTTTTTTTGGTGGTCTCCAACCAATGGTCATCCCATGTATCACGGACCTTTTGATCAACCCCATGTTGTCTTTCGGACAAAGAGGTTTACACAGTTACAGGAGCAATTCGTTTGCTCCGGGAGTCCAAACGCCCCCGGCCAGGACTTGGTGCAGGCCCTCATGGACTTTGTGAAGACCATCCGCTGAACATGGGGGGTGATCAACGTGGACACCCACACCAAAGATGATATTTGAGCCACTGTGGAAAAGTTACCCATGCAAAATGGATGAGGGACCCTAAATGGAATCAACTATGGAAAAGTTGGGCCCAATTGTTGGTTGACCCAATTGGTTGACCGTGGGTTGGATTTCAACCACTATGGAAAAGTTACCCATGGTCAGAAGTGGGGGCCCTTCAAGCGAAGATTGATCAACCCCCGCATCGGCCTACAGCCCAACCCTTCGGCTAGTTTTCGTTCGGCTCCGTGCGCATGCGCGCAGAAAGCCCGGGCTTTCTGAGTGGTACAGGCAGCAAAGATTCGCTTCGAAGGAGATCAGAAACTGAAGCTTCGACCCGCAGCTTGATCCTGAAGCAGAACCTTTGGAGCTGCGCTTTTCATGATTTCAGATACTGTAGTTGAATTTATGGGCAGGTGTCCCAGTTACAGCCAGACGCCGGAAAAAGGCGTGCGGTTCCAGAATAGAGCCAAAAAAGGGATCATGCTGCAGTCACTGCAGCCTGCAGGTACATCCGCACATCCGCGTTGTTTCGGTCACAGTGTAAGGAGCACAAAGGGACATAGTGCACGGCCGATGTTCCGCACCGTGCGCCGTTGTTGTGCTTGTATGATACGAACAAACACAAGCGATTCCCCCAAAAACTTCCAATGCTATCAGGTGCTGACCCTTCGGCGTGCGCACTGACTCGCCCGCTCCAGGTGGTATGTGCTGGGAAGCCGAAGCCTTGGGAGATCGGTCGGACACGTCCAACGGGATTGGCAGAGGTGACTGTCTGGCCGGTTGGCAGGGAGCCGAGTCTTTCCGGCGATTTGGTTGAACCTTTTGGACTTCAACTTGTTGGTTGAAACAGTTTGGATTTTCCCTTGGACCCACAAGCAGTTAAACTTGTTACAGAGGGGTCAACAGCAACCAAGGAGCCGAAATGGGACTAGTCCTGTCATGGTAGCCATGCAAGCCGTGCCAAGCATGCGCGGTAACGAGCCAGGCCAGTCGAGTCGCAGCGCCACACGCCCAGTGCAATTCGGTCCGACGGGAACAGGCTTTGCTGGGCCTTCTTGGGGCTAGTCATAGTCCTTTCAAGTCTACCAAACAAAACTTGGGCCAGGATGAGAATATGTTATCATTGCACAGTGCAACTATTTGACCAGAATGTCAGAATGTGCAGTGCAATTATTGAAACACTTGTCCAGAATGAGCAGTGCAATTAGTTTATCGTTCGGTCGACTCCGAGTCGCCCGACTCCGGTTCTGGTTCAGGCCTGGATGTGCACAGCTTCCGCCTGACGGCGCTCTCCAACGCGGTGCGGCGCTTGCAGAAGATGCAGGCGACGGCGCGGTGTGAAGCGCCGGTGCTGCGGCGAGCCATGGCGAGCTGGCGCGGGAGCCCGATCCGAAAATCCTTCCATTTGGGTTAAGAAGATTGTTTAAGAAGATTCTTCCCTGTCCTCTGTTGGTTGTAAAGGGAATCCATTTCACTACTGGCAATGTTCCCCTGTTGGTTGAATCCATCACTACTGGAAAGTTTCCCCTGTTGGTTTTAAAGGGAATCTATCACTACTGGACATTGTCCTTTTTTCCAGGGGACTTAAGCAAATGGAGGAAACTTGGTAGTTGGTGGTGATAAGGCTTTGGGGTTTTAGACAGGTCTGGTTGGTCAAACAACTTTTCATGGAAATCGGTCACAAGGCTTTAGGAGTGACGTTTCAAGGGCAGGGGCAGTAAATTGACGAGAGGGTGCTGAGATTCAAGCCACATGTCCGGAAATCTATCGGCGCTTCCTGTCTTTTTGGGGAACCACCCAAGTGGGTTTTCCTGCTTCCCCTTGAGCACCCCACTTAAGAACCAGGGCTCCTTTGGCCGAGGTCGCAGCTCATCCACCCGAAGGCCAAAGATCGCCTTGAGGCGATCCCGCTTGGGCGGGACTACCCACCAATGAACACGGAACTTGACAGACGGGTCCTGGTTTGGACCATTCTCCTTTTAATTCGACCATTTCCCGAACGTCAGGTTCCATGTTCTTCGGTATTAGCTTGTTGCACATTCCCGCATGATCATGGAATAATTTGCCGATTTTTCAGCACTCCACTCTCGTACTGAGCAGGTGTCGGCACCTTCGGGGGCCCAGACTTTATGTGATGTTCTTCTTGTTTTGTTCTTTTCCTCTGGGGTAGGGATGGTCAGCCCAGTGCCTCGTCTTTTCGGTACTCCTTGGGTTTTGAAGGCCAGCCGCCAAGCCAAAAGGCCTCCGTTTTGGGGAGGCCAACCTCAAGAAAGGCACATAGGGAGGTCAGACGATAGGCAATGATTCATATGACAAGAACTATGGGAGTTTTGGTGGATGTTTTGGTGTTTCATATGACAAACACTAGGCAATGTTTCATACTCCATGTGAGTGGATGGCGTAGGAGAGCAGAGAAGGTGGATCATACGATAGGCTATAGTTTTGGTGGAGTTTTGGCCATGGCTCGCACGGGTCGCATGGCTGAGCAGACTGAGGTGGCGCAGGAAGAGAGCCAAGAGGCTCGATTGGTGGACTCTCGTTTGCCCGCACTTTTGGGGTGTGGGTGTTGCACTGGATCTGTTTACCTGGGGATTAAGATGCAGCTTTGGGTTTTGGTCAGGCTCTTTTCTACGGGAGTGTCTGGAAATGGACGCAGAAAGTCCAAGAGTCCCATCGCCCGTGATCATCTCGTTGGGTGTAAGTCCAAGTTGCTAGTCTCACTCCGAGACATGGGGCCGACTGCCAAAAGAGCAACAGATCACACCGTTGTCATTCAGGTGGTGAGCTTTCTGGTCGCTGGCCCAACTGGTTTGACACTTGACATAGCTCTGAAGCTTTGGAGAACATCCTCCAAGATCCTTGGTGGAGACAAAAAGCACATGCAAATGATATCCAAAAAGGGGTTCCAAATTACCCTCCCTCCAATCGTGGAACCGGACGATCGGGGTTTGGAAGACGAAAGGTGTCCTTTTGTGGAAGCCCCGTATCCACTTCCATTGAACAAAAGTAAAGTTCCAGCCCCCCCCCCCCCCCAACCGCTGCTTTTTGGTTGCCGCACCAAACAGGATTTTGGACGCAGTTCTTGGGACGGTGCTAGTTGTAGATTCTCCAATCCACGGTAAATTCAAAGGTGAAATTTGCGGCTCCGTATGGCGCATGACGTCTCCGCGCCGATTTTAAGCCCGCACGTCGCACAGTTGGCTCTTCTGGAGAAACAACCATATGCCATTCCTTTGTTCAAAACAAGAATCAGGTGGAATGTTGGGGAACCTCCGAAAAGGGGTGTTTTCCTGGCTTCTTGAAAGCTACGGTGGCCAGCATCGTTCTTGCTCTTAAAAAGTGGTCGCCGGAAAGACAAAAAAAGCACCAAACAGAAACAAACAACAATGTGTTTCCCTTGAGAATCAAAAGGCGCCACACCAAAAGGGTGGCGCTTTTCCCCGTTGATCCGAGGAATTGGTCGAAAGCCTGGAGGGTCAAGCCACCGCCGTGCAGGATCTCAGCCTCTTGGTACGGATGGGATTCTTTTCGCCAGGCTGAAAGCTGGCGTCCATCGCTTGAAATGGGAGTGGGTCAAAACCGTTTTGGGATCCCATTTTGGTTGGGATTGGTGAGTTCACCACCCATTTCAGAACCTATAGTGGTTGGATTGACTCGGACGTTCACTGGGGGAACGGGATTTTGACCCATGGCCAAATGGGCGTGGCCAGGTAACCAAGTTGCGATCGCTTTTTTCAGTCGATCGCTTTTTTCAGTCACTGTTGCTGAGAAAAAAAAAAACACGACCACTGGCGATCCAGATGAATTTTACTGGGGGACCCGAAATGGTGGACATCAGAATTCGGTGGGGGTTTTATTATTATGTCCACCAACTACTTTTGGAATGGGGGGTTCCCCATAAAAAGAATCGTAGCCAAATGATTTTCATGACTGGGTTATCGTAAACGGTTGGTGTGGTGAAAATGTCCATCAAGCCATAAAATGTTTGGTACAGGTTTCAATAGTGTGCGTGGTGAATGTCAATGACTTTCTGGAATGATGTTCAGGATTGTTTTTCTTTTGGGGGTGACTTGTGTTGGAGTGGTTTAAAAGGGACACCAAGAGGAAAACCAAACTCCATTTGGGGGACCCATAACTTTGACAGGGAACCACCGAAGTAGTTGGCGGACATGAATCCCCACCGAACTCTTGCTGGGCCAATGTTTGGGACCATCTTGCCGTCTTTGCCCTTAACAAAAATGAGGAAAGAAAAGATGAATCCCGGACTCGAGCTTGAAGATTGTGTTTTCCCTTGTTTTTTTTTCTTTCTCGGAGAAGTGGCAGGGGGTGGTATCCCTGGACTGGTTAGATGTTGATATCGAAGATGTTTTGCAAGCTTGTTTCTGGCCGTGGGAACCCGGCGATTGCGGTGGTGGCGGAAAACGAGCATCACCAAAGTGAGCTGCTCGCTTTGATTGAGCGTTCTATGGGTGGTCGGTGTAAGGTTGGATCTAGAATCCCTTTTATTTGGCTAGTCTCAACGGACCTGAAGGACCTCGAAAGGCCCTTGCAACACGGGGCGTATCCTTGCAACATGGCTGAGTTTCACCTACGGTTGGAGCATGAATGGCAATCTGCCTGTGCAAATCAACCTACAAAGGGGGACGCCCACCACCCCCCCCCAAAAAAAAGAAGAAGAAGAAGAAGAACGAACGAAATAAGTTCCCGCGAATGGCTGTTTTGGCTCGATGAAAATTCGGTGTATCTCCACCAGGGGCCGTTCATGGCTTCCATTCGCCTGAGGCGAACTGGTACGAGCTGAGCTGAAGGCACCCTCGGTGTCCTCCGGCGGTTTTTATGGGGGTTTCCACCAGTAAATTCATCCACTTTTAGAGGGAGAATCCAGTGAGCCCTGTGTGTTGTTGGGTTGAACACATACATTATTCAAAGGGCCTTTACAAGTGCACAGGTGCCGCTGGTTGGTTTTTTCGTTCTTCCCTAGGCAACATGTCAGGAGATGTTTTTCACTGAGCACAAAGCAGTTCAACCCACCTTCAGGCTTCTAAAAAAACAATGGGAACCCCGGATGAAGGGAGCCTAGGTGACGACATCCACCGAATCTTCGTTGCTTTAACGACAAGGCCCCAGATTTCTTCAAAGTCCCGGTGCGAGCTATGAGCATTTGGTCTCTGCAGTGTGGACTGGATGAGCCAATGAAATTCCTAAGCAAAATCCAAAGAAGTTCCTTTCTCCAACCGGCGTGTGATGCCTTGTGCCCGATTTCGCGCCTGGTTCGATTGCCCCACCGATTTTGCCTGAGATTGTGGACTTCGGAGGGAGTCTCCATGGCTTTTTTCAGCCAGATGTGGCAAGTTTCCAAGATTTGGCTCAGGGGTAGGTGGAGCAAGGGGGGGTGAACACTGCAACCAAATGCGCTTAGGGGTTCAGTTAAGCAACCATGACCAGAGCTTTGTTCCCTTCAAGAGCAAATTGGAAACCTTCCATTAGTGCCCCGGGCTTTCCCAAAAAAAGACATGATGTTTGTTGACATTGCGTTGGAATTTCCTTGGAGAGGTCTTTAGGTGGGAACAGTTGGAGTTTTCTTAGACTGTCAAAAGGCATCTCGTTGGAATTTCATAGTGGAACTTTGAAACTTCATGTGAATTGCATTGGGTCGTGGTGTAGTTTCACTGGAATTTGCTTTGTGGGGGGCAAGCACAGAACTTCGCCGGAGTTGGGCGAAGCCTTTCGCCGGTCTCGGAGGGGAACCGGGAGGACGAGTGCCGTGAGCAGGCGGATGATTTCTGGCAAGGGAGGGTGGCTTTCTGAGCTTTTTCGTTCTTTTTTGATTTTTTGGGGGTCCTTTTGCGTTCCACTCACCAAAGAAGAAGATAGTTTTTTGCTGGGGTCCAAAAAAAACAGCTGTGGGAGGCCAACATGAGCCACGTCAAAGCCCGGGGATTGACGAAGGTTAGTAAGGTCCCAGCCAGAAATAGTTGCGAAACTCCGCCTTCTTAATTCTTGAAGCATGGTTCTGGGTAGACCATTTTTAAACCGGGGTTTGATTGTGACTCACATGACAAAGCTCAGGGTACCGTTTGCCGCTTGGTGGTCCAGAAAAAGACAAAACGACGGGATGCAGGCAGGAAGAGATCCTACACTGACCGAACTGACCTTGCAAAATTTGTGCAACTTGCGTTTTTGGTTGCGTAATGTAAATGGGGAATAAGAACCCTCCTATGGTCTTGGACACCACTTCCCAAAATATGATGTCCGACGCATGGGTCCAACCACTGAACATGTTTTGCCTTGTTTGTTTTTGAGGGAGGCTCTAGCCCCTTCAAAGAAGCCACCCATGTCCAAGACACACCCCCCCCTGCAAGGAAGCATCACTCATGGGCCACCATGTGGGCGTGTTCTTAGGGCATCCCCCACAGATTTCGTTTCTCCGTCTTTAAAAAAGAAACACAGAAAAGAAGCAAGCCAGCGCTTTAGAGGTTACAGACCTTCCGGTTTCCAAGGTTCCTTCTGGTTTCCCTTTAAAACCTAGAAAGAACGTGGGTGCCAACTCCAAAAAGAAACAGACCCATGTCGCTCGGAGGCCTTTCGGGAGCTTGCAGCACGCGTGGAGGTGCTGGAGGAGGGATTCAACATGGACCGAATTGGGGGGAAAGAACTCCCCAGCCGTCGGCAGACATTTATGGCCTTAGCTACTTTTGTACTAATTCCGTATTTGTTCTTTCTTTTTTTTAAATAGTAGGCTCCCTCCCCCCGCCAAACCTACCTTTTCCACAAAACACCGGGCATTTACGAAAGTCAGTGCTTGCTCGAGTATCTCTTTTTTCTATCCCCTCCACGGGGTGGATCATATGCGTTCATGTAAGACACCTGGGCCGAATGCTGCAAGTTCAATTTAGAAATCATTGAGCGATGTCTCACCTCAAGACTACTTCACGGATGCTCGGGACTCGCGGGAGGTCTGAAAAAACCGAATATATCCTCGGGCAACATCTGAGCTCCCGCGGTTTTTTGGTAGCATCCGTAGGCAGTCTTGCATCCATGCAAGGGGGGGTGTTTGGGGGGGGGGGGGTGATGTCCAAGGGGCTGCGACTCAGGCCAGTGCCGTTTTCTTTTATTTTTTTCGGGAAGGGCAGACAGTTGTTTCAGCCCGTTGAGCCAGCCATCGCACAGGGCCGCAGCGGCCAAGCTTGCATTTCAGCTTGGAGCCGAGAACTGGAGTTGGCGCAGCGGGCGTTGTTCCAGGCACACCGTGTTAATTATGTTCCTCCCACCTTCTGCTGCGCTGGCCAAGAACAGTTCTCCTGAGCGACGGTCGCGCGTGGAAAAGGGCAGCCGCACGCTACAAGCAAGCAAGCACTTTGAGGACGGTCTCCCACTCGCGAAGTGGATGGACGAAGCTTCGCCGCGTCGAAGGCAAGCGCGAAGTTTTGTTGGAACACAGCGCCCTCATCGCTGCTGGATGTGTATCACGGAACTGACTCATCAATCCACCGCGTAAACGCCTGCATCTGGGACAAAGTTTACCGATTCGTACCTCGGCGCTACACGTGCCAATGAGATGGGGAGAACAAGATGCTGCGCAACTTTTTTTCCCCAGCAACACAAATATATCTTGAACATGTAATGTCAGGTATCATGCCAATAGCACGGGCCTTAACCACGCCAACAAACTGCAACCCTGCGACTAAAACGTTGGTTACCACGACAATTTCTTATTTTCACTCCACAAAAAAAAAAAAAAAACGACACCCCGACAGCGATGCTTGCAGCCCAAAACAAGCTTCTTTCCTCTTCCCCTAGTCTTCTTTCCTCTTCCCCTAGTCTTCTTTCCTCTTCCCCTAGTCTTCTTTCCTCTTCCCCTAGTCTTCTTTCCTCTTCCCCTAGTCTTCTTTCCTCTTCCCCTAGTCTTCTTTCCTCTTCCCCTAGTCTTCTTTCCTCTAGTCTTCTTTCCTCTTCCCCTAGTCTTCTTTCCTCTTCCCCTAGTCTTCTTTCCTCTTCCCCTAGTCTTCTTTCCTCTTCCCCTAGTCTTCTTTCCTCTTCCCCTAGTCTTCTTTCCTCTTCCCCCAGTCTTCTTTCCTCTTCCCCCAGTCTTCTTTCCTCTTCCCCTAGTCTTCTTTCCTCTTCCCCTAGTCTTCTTTCCTCTTCCCCTGGTCTTCTTTCCTCTTCCCACGGGCCTGGAGTTTTGACACTGTCGGTGGCAAAAGCGCGGCTGCCCGCCAATTGCCTGGCGCACTTTCGGGTTAACTTTGCACACTCTTGGGACCTTGCCGGGCAAGGCTTGGAGAAGGCAAGGGAATCCGGCATTCCAGCTCGAAAAGCGGATCCCCAGCCAATCCCTCCAGCTTGAAAAGCGGATCCCCAGCCAATCGTGATTAAGGTTGTGTTGGGGATCCGCTTTTCGAGCTGGAATCCGGCATTCCAGCTCGAAAAGCGGATCCCCAGCCAATCCCTCCTGAAAGGGGGCCGTGATGAAGGTTGTCTTGGGGATCCGCTTTTCGAGCTGGAATCCGGCATTCCAAAAAGCGGATCCCCAGCCAATCCCTCCTGAAAGGGGGCCGTGATGAAGGTTGTCTCCCTCCCCGTGATCCGGGGATCCGCTTTTCGAGCTGGAATCCGGCATTCCAGCTCGAAAAGCGGATCCCCAGCCAATCCCTCCTGAAAGGGGGCCGTGATGAAGGTTGTCTTGGGGATCCGCCTTTCGGCATTCCAGCTCGAAAAGCGGATCCCCAGCCAATCCCTCCTGAAAGGGGGCCGTGATGAAGGTTGTCTTGGGGATCCGCTTGTCGAGCTGGAATCCGGCATTCCAGCTTGAAAAGCGGTCCAGCTCGAAAAGCGGATCCCCAGCCAATCCCTCCTGAAAGGGGGCCGTGATGAAGGTTGTTTTGGGGATCCGCTTTTCGAGCTGGAATCCGGCATTCCAGCTCGAAAAGCGGATCCCCGAGCCAATCCCTCCTGAAAGGGGGCCGTGATGAAGGTTGTTTTGGGGATCCGCTTTTCGAGCTGGAATCCGGCATTCCAGCTCGAAAAGCGGATCCCCAGCCAATCCCTTCAGCTTGAAAAGCGGATCCCCAGCCAATCGTGATTAAGGTTGTGTTGGGGATCCGCTTTTCGAGCTGGAATCCGGCATTCCAGCTCGAAAAGCGGATCCCCGGCCAATCCCTCCTGAAAGGGGGCCGTGATGAAGGTTGTCTTGGGATCCGCTTTTCGAGCTGGAATCCGGCATTCCAGCTCGAAAAGCGGATCCCCAGCCAATCCCTCCTGAAAAGGGGGCCTTTTCGAGCTGGAATCCGGCATTCCAGCTCGAAAAGCGGATCCCCGCCAATCCCTCCTGAAAGGGGGCCGTGATGAAGGTTGTCTTGGGGATCCGCTTTTCGAGCTGGAATCCGGCATTCCAGCTCGAAAAGCGGATCCCCAGCCAATCCCTCCTGAAAAGGGGGCCGTGATGAAGGTTGTCTTGGGGATCCGCTTTTCGAGCTGGAATCCGGCATTCCAGCTCGAAAAGCGGATCTTCAGCCAATCCCTCCTGAAAGGGGGCCGTGATGAAGGTTGTCTTGGGGATCCCCAGCCAATCCCTCCTGAATAGGGGCCGGTTGTCTTGGGGATCCGCTTTTCGAGCTGGAATCCGGCAATCCAGCTCGAAAAGCGGACCCCCAACCAATCCCTCCTGAAAGGGGGCCGTGATGAAGGTTCTCTTGGGGATCCGCTTTTCGAGCTGGAATCCGGCATTCCAGCTCGAAAAGCGGATCCCCAGCCAATCCCTCCTGAGGCCCCAAAGCGATTTCTTGTCGTGGGGTGAAAGAACAAAAATCGTCGGGGGGTGGATGGGTTTCTTGTCGGGGGGTGGGTTTTGGGTTTCTTGTCGGGGTTCGGGCGCGCCCTCATCATGCCAAGCCCCGCTGCCAGGGAATGTTTGGTCAAACGAGCTCTTTCCAAACGCGCGCGAGTGCCGACAATCCGTGTTGCAGTGTTTTAGTCCTTGTTGATCAATCTTTCCCAGGACATTCCCAAAAAACATGTGCATGCATTCACAGTTCGAGGTTTGTGCCGGACCATGCCTGCCAGATAGGGTTTGGTTGATGGTTCTTCTCCACGGGTTTCCAGTCCAACCGAAAATTGGCTACCAAAGCATGTCAGTGCCCTTGTGCAGACTACCCAGAAAAAGCCTCCTCGATGTAACATAGTTGGTTCGTTCAGTTGTACAAAGCCCACTGTACAAACAATAGCTGTGTATCACGTGCTATTGCGCAACAGAAAAAGCAGACCCTAGATGACAAGAACTAAGACACGCAAAGAATGGCTGAAACCAGAAAAACATTACGCAGTTGGCGTATTTGTTCATTAAACAACGGCGGTGTACTTTTTCTCACAAAAGAGGCCAACACACGGGTAACGTGTATTTTGTTATCCCAAAAAGAACAACCAGGAGTTTTTCCGCCCAAAAGCCGCCGGTTGCGGGCGCGTCGTGCGACGCACCCGGAGGAGCGAAGCCGCTGGCCCTTGCGCGAAGCGCGGGAGCTGGAGCAGCGCAGCCTCGAGGCCATGGACCAGGCGGGTTGACCTCGGGGAGATGTGGCCAGTTTATATGGGGTGACCTTGGGGCAACCACCAACTAAATGGGAACAGCTATCCATGGTCATATTGGGGCCAGGAATATGGCAGTGCTTATCAAAACCAATGGTATCCCATTTTGGTTGGTAGGTGAATTCGCCACCCATTTCAGAACCTATTTTAGTGGTTGGATTGGGTTGTTCACTGCAATACGGGATTTTGACACATGGCCAAATTGCTGTGGGTCAAAGATAGGGTAACCTATAAATGGAACCCTGGAAGGTGGAAACATGGACCAAAACCTGCGGTCCATTTCCTGGTGGTTTGAGTTTGACCCATACCCAAATATTTACATGTTACGTGTGTATATCTAGATATTAGATCGACACGACATAGACCGACATGAAGATATTTGGCAAGGTCTGCATATTCCACATACCATATACCATATACCATATACCATATTACATATACATGTTATGTTATATATATATATATGTATAAATGCGTCATAATGTGTATTATATATATATATATACGCCATATGAGTTCCATTCAAAACAGCCCCTGTAAAGGATTAGTACTGCAACGACCCAGGTTTATGGCACAGGGGGAATGAAGCCGCCCCGCAGCTGAATCAACTTGGGTAGTAAAACATTTACAATATTGCATTACCATATTACATACATACATATACAACATATTTACAATTACATATATACATACATGTACACATGCACAAGCCTTCATACCCACATACCCACATACACATGCTGCATTGCACTTCGAGTACAGCTGCATTTGCAGTTGCATCTACACATTCAAACCCGGGTGCGCACAGATTCATGCACATGGAAGCAACCGCGTCATATTTGAAAGGTCTTCTTAAAAGATACCTTTTGCCCATTTCAAACATGTTGCTTTTTCAACACCAAAATGAAGGGAAACCACCATTTACAAGGCAATGTTCAGGTGTTTTTCATGTAAGGATCCCTGTTTGCTTTGGAATTCTGCGTGTTCATCGGCCGTTTTCAGGGCGAGCCGGCCAGGTGCAGCGGCGCGCGCAGGGCGCGCTGGCCAAGCTTGCACGGAGGTTGAGGGAGGCGGGCAGAGGAGTTGAAACCGAAGCCTGGAACAGATTTGATCAGCATGCCCGGGATGGCTTCGGCTTCCTATGGGGTATGCATGAACACCAAGTCTGATAAGAATTAGAACACCTGCAGGAGGGGCTCGTAAAGTGTCTTGGACGAAGCTTGGCATGGTGGCTGCAATTTGCAAATCCTGTAACGTTTTGGAGTTGCTTCTTCTTCAGGTTGCAAGTGGGGGGGTGGGCGATGGCACAGTTGCATGCTGCGCCGCGCAGGACGAAGCAGCTATGGATTCAGATGAATCGCCAGCGTGCCAAAACAGCGCGGCACAAGCTGTACTAGTGGGCCTTTGGTTACCAAGTACTTTGGCCTCCTGATGGGTTTTTGCATGGCAGTCAGTCACACCAATGGGGCAGGTTGCTTGCGGCTCAAGGTCGGACTGGGCTCTCCAAGTTCCTTGGGGCAGGTTGCTTGCGGCTCAAGGCTCCAAGTTCCTTTCACGCACCGGGCGCGCATTGTAGGCGTCCCAGGCCGCATGTTGATCCGTTTCGAGCCGCTTCCGCTTTGATCGAAGCGCGCCATGAGCCTTTTCCGAGCGGCGCGGCCGCAGCTGGCGCGGCTGGCACGAAGACCCGCCCTGAGGCAAGCTCAAGAGAATTGCCCGGAACAGACCAACTGATGGCCATGAATTGTAATAGGGAACCACCCAGACAAATCCTTTCGGTTTCCCTTTAAAACACACCCCAAAAGGGGTATTATCCCAAAAAGTGGTTTTCATTTCGGCTTTCCGTTCAAGAAGCCCAAAACGGAGGCGCCCCCTATCTCTTGCGATGGGCAGAGCGAACCGCGCAGGCTCAGTCCAGCGCGCCTGGGGGTGGGCGCGGGGGCCCTGCTGCTCGCCTGCGCGGCGACGCCGGCGCCCGCCTTCTTCGGGCGGCTGAAGTGCGAGGCAGGGGTCGGGGGGTGGGGGCCGGGGTGGGGTCGAGGTGGGGGGTGGGGAACACCCCGGTTTATCAGAATATTGTTTTTTTGGTGAAATGGCCTGTAAGGTTGACCCCACCACCCCTATTAATAAACTGGGTTGAGCAATATGGGTTAAACATTAGAGTCGGGACACTGCATTTTTGGTTACAGGACTAAAGGGATTTTGGACACGGTTGAAAAGGCACGGGGGGGGTCTTGGATCAATGTTGCATTCGGGTTTGTCCTTTCTGTTGAGGCTTCTACCCTTGAAAGTGGTTGCTTTGTGCTTGGTATGCCCATCCTTAAAGGGGAAACCAAAATCAATGTGGGGGTTCCCAATGTTTAAGACGCGCCCATTCAGATTCCCCTTTCCAGGAGAAGCCGCCGCCGGAGTCGAAGCTGTGCGAGTCGAAGCCGTCTGAAAGCCTCCTGCGGAGCACTGCCCGCATCACCTCGGCCTTGCTGTGCTGGGGCTTCTTTGCGGCTCGCCTCGGAAGAGCCGCCAACTTGTGGGAAACTTTGTTATCTACTGCTATTGGATTGGATCTTTAGACTGGAACTTCTTGGGTTCCCCTCATATTTCCCTTGAACCAGCAAGAAGTGAAACTTTTTGCTGGGGGATCTGCAGCACCCAAGGGTTGAAACGGCCAACACAGACCTTCAATCCCGGATGTCCGGGCCGAAGCCGGAAAGCTGATTGCAAAGAAACAAGTCAGAGAAGAAGTACCACCAGCAGGAGGAACGGGCTGCAGTTTTCCCATGTCTTTTGGGGGAAACGAGTAATCTAGCTGTTCGACCGGGAGCTGGACATATCCGACAATTTGCTTCCTTGAATAGCTCCGCCTTTCGGAGCAACCAGGAGTGCAAGGACATGGTAGTTAGGTCTGCTCATGGTTCGACCAGCTTGTCCTGGCCATGTAACGACGTGATTTTCGCCTTTGAGGCTACTGACTTGGATCCGGGAACCTGACTTGAAGTGACAAGCCAAAGACTTGGAGAGCAAAGGAGCCCTCAGCACAAGATGGGTGAATCTTTTCAGGGCACCCCGAAGCTCGTGTTTGCCCTTCTGAACATCCATTGCAAACCACCAGGAGAAACAGGTAACTCCAAAAAGGAGACACACCCAGCACATGGGCAACATGAGTTTCTCCTCGACATCGATCCCAGTTCGTTTCGGTGGCTACCCGTCTCAAAGCCCGAGGCCAGCATTTGGTTCGTGTCCATTACGCTGCCTGCGGGCCTTTTGTGGGCGGTGACCGCGGCCAAGTGGAGCCTTTGCTTGGTCCGGGGTGCCGGGTTGGCTTTTTCCGAACAGCGGGTTTCCTCCAACTGCTTTTCTCCACCACGTCCAACATCCCGTTTGTACTGCAGCCAAAAAAGCAGGGGTTGGGACCCGGCTGCTGGCTGGTGTCCCGTTTTATAAGACTGTCAAGCGAATCTCCACAAGGAAGGCGGTCCGCTTGACTTCCAAGAAACAAACACATGAGCTCATCTTGAATAGGGTCGTTTTGAGGCTCAAGACCCTCGGGCTTTAAAGGGAAGCCAAAGGACGACAGAATTTCCAAGTTGTGCACAATGAAATTCATTTTGGAATTTCCCCCCATTCCGGCACAGACCCTAAAGGGAAGCCAAAGGAGGACGGAATTATCCCATTTTGTTTAATATGTTTTTACATATTTTTCTGAAAGTGAGTGCCCCCCCCGGGGCCCCCATTCCGGCACAGACCCAAAGAAACTCTGAGGAAGTTGGTCTCCAGCATCCTGGCGGCCTACGCCTTCCCGCACGTGGTGACGCTGCCGCCGCTGCCCTTGGCGGTGCGGCGCGCCTTCTTCTCGGGGCTGGAGAGTTGGTTCCCCGAGGGCATCCAGGTGGTGAGGCCGCCAGGGCCCCCGGATGGGCTGGGGGTGCGGGTGGGGGGGGGGGGACTGGAGCAGATACTGCCAAGCCATGGGGCTTCACAAGGAGTGAGGTGAGAGGTGAGAGGTGAGGTGGCGCGGGGTGAGGTTGAGTGGGGTGGGGTGGGGTGGGGTGGGGTGGGGTGAGGTGAGGAGAGAGAGAGCTGCCTCGGGCGCCATGCCTGCTGGCTTGGCAAGGGCTGTAATTTGCAGCTTTCCGCATCAAGCGATTGGCATCCGGACGTTCATTGGTTGCGCTTTGTGCTTGGCGCCCAGGAATGGCGATGAGCCAGAGCCAGAGCCACCTGCCAAGCGGCCTCAGCTCTTTTGCGCCTCGGATCGATACGGGGGTCTTCCCACCGATGCGTCGACCGCTTCCATTTGGTTAAGAATATATACATATATATATATATGTTATTATTATCCCCTGTTGGTTTTATTGGGATTCTATCACTACTGGACATATTTTTATTTTTTTTCCAGGGGACTTGAGCAAATGGAGGACCAGCGTTGTGTCAATGCCGGCACCGAATCTCGAGCGGGTCTTCCAAGCCCCAACGCGAAAACCGCCACACCGCCGCCTTCGATTTTGGGCCGCTCGCTCACCCAGGCATCCACCCCCACGGCATCTACACGCTGGGCGCTCTGACCTTGCCTGAGAAGGTGCCGGAGGTGAAGGTGTGCCACTCGCACAAACGGAGAGAGCTCCCTTCGGTTTTTCTGTGAAACCACCAAATTAGGAGACCCGCCGCCTGAGACTTCATTGCGATGTTGATTGGTTCTCTTGTGATTTGAGACGCCCTGGGTGAAGGGCAAAGACAGGCTCGCATCTTTTGCCGTTTCGGTATCGACCATTGCTTAAAAAGTGGAATGGGGAGGACCTAGGCAGGTCTTGAAGATTGTTCGATTTTGCAGATGCAAGTTGGTCCAATGGTAGCAGCATCTAGCAACTAGAATGCCAACGCTCCGTCATTCAAAGCCATTCCACTTGTCCCTTCCATTTGATCATGCCCACTCTTCCATGCACCCAGTCCACTTTCTCATATTTGCATGCCGCGCGTCCATGCCTATGCCACTTTCCCAGTTCAGCTCACAGAGCTCCTTTGAAGTTAAAACTTTGACAGACCAGCCGTTAATGTCCGTTTGGTTGCCACACACTCAAAAGAAACATTGGAAGCCACGTCATCGGTGGATATCGGTGGCATGTGCTGGCACGCTCCGGCATGCGTTTGCAGGGCTTTGCATGTTTGGATGCGTGACATGTTGCGAAAAGACTTGTGGTTGGGAGTTTTGGGCATGCTTGCTGTTTCCCTTTCAGGAAATGCACATAAGGAGATTGACCATGGCCTGCATGAAGGGTCGAGGACACTTGTTGGTTGTTTGTCAAGGGGACGGTATGGGACGCACTCGCCACATTCTGTGCCCGCTGGAAATTGGGGAATGATCAGTTTCCCATGTCAGTGGCAGCAGGTGATTGTTTAACTCAAGAGGCGGTCAGCTGCCAATTGCGATGTGCGAAAAAGGAAAAGTGTTCTTCTTTTGTTTTAAAGACGGGTTAGTAAAAAGGAAGAAAGAAAAACAACAACACGCTGGCATTCACCTGTGCCATGTCCCTCCGACGTAGTCCTGCGAGCCAGAAGGAAGCTTGCTGGGTTTCAATCTCGAGTTCTTCGACCGCGGACACCCTTTTCTGGGCGTTCACAGAGCCCCAAGAAGCAACAAGGGTAACCGTGTCACACGCGTTCTGCGTGCCGACATCCAATCACATGGGTTCTGCGCGTTCCTTCTCTCCATTTCCCTCCCTGTCATACCTTTCCGAGACCTTTCCATTTCCATCCATCCGATCTTCTTCAGGGAATCAGGGAATGACTTTTGCGAAACATCCGACTGGTTTCCGCTTCGGGATCCCTTTCAGGTTCATTCCCAAAACCCATTCCCTATCGAAGCAGAGGCATCGAGGCGTCGAAGCTGAGTCCAAGGGACCACGTCCTTTAACCGCTCAACCATAGGTACGGCACACGTGCACATTCGTCAGCCTCAGCTTTTAAACCGCCTTGAACCCCCCCACCCCCCAACAAAAAAGAACAAAAACCAACAAAAGCAAAAGCCAAAAAGATAACAGGGTACCCCTCGCCCAGCCCCCCCTCCCCCCTGGCCCAAAAAAAAAGATGTCAAGAAGCCAATAACAAAAACAACACCTTGTGGTACCTTGGTTGCCTCAAGACATCTCTCGTCGGGACATCTCAACACCTGGGTGTGGGTCAAAATTAAGCCACCAAATTTTGCACCACCAAGATATGGACCGCAGGTTTTAGTCTTTGTTTCCATTTTCCGTTTGGCAAGCCATTTTTGGGGTAACCCGATTTTTTGACAACCACAGCCACCTCTCGCGTTGTCGGGACATCTCGACAAACACCCTGTGGCAAATTTCGACCCCCCCAAAAATCTCGGGTTGACGACCTCTCGACCTGGAGTCCACTTTGGCGTGAGGCATCGCGGCGTATCTCTACAACTGGGCCCCGGGCTTCCGCGTCATGGCGCAGCTGCTGGGCATCTCGCTGGGCTCCGTGGACCCCGGCGCGCTGAAGCGGCTCATGCAGCGCCAGGAGAGCCCGCTGGCCCTGGTGCCAGGTGGGCGGAGTCCGGGGGCCGGGGGGGGTCAAGTGAGGGACGGCAAAACGGGACGTGGGACGGGGGGCAGGGGGGAAATTGTGGTGGGAAACCTGGGAAGCAGCCAGCGGTCCGGTGATGTTTCCCGTTTTTTAAGGGCGGGCAACGAAGAGGGACCTACTCATCCACCTGAGCAGGAAAAACATGGTCCAGTGACCCATAGGCAACCACATCAGCCTGAAAAAGGGTCCACTTGGCCCAGCGATTTCATTTTCCAGGTAGCCAAAGAGGGACATATGTTTTTTTGGCGGAGCCGATACCCTCCTAAGATGGCAGCTGAGAGGTTCAAGAGGGGGTTGATCTTCCAGACACCTCCCATGTACCAAGAGAGGCTAAAAGACTCTAATTTTCGCCTTCGCGAAAGAGACTCTAATGTATGTCGGGCTGTTTTGAATGTTCTCATGATTGCTGGTTTCGTGACATTTGCGACCGCGCGCGGGCCGCATTTGCATCGCGATGCCCCATAGAAAAGCAGTTCAGGGCAGCTTTGCCCTGGGCATGCGCCGGCTTCAACGTGTGATTACATGGCTCAAGACGCATTGGGTCAAAGGTCCGTTGCAACCCAAGACACATCCAGGTTAGTTGGCTGATTCGCTGCGCTTACCGAGTGTATGGCTGCGCGAACGGTCAATGTGAGTTCACCGTTAGCATGTGCGATCTGCCAAGAGGGATTCCGAAGGGTTCCCCTATATGTGCCAAGGGTTTGGAAACACATAACTGACCGTGCTTGCTTGCGCAGCGAGGCGATCTCACGGGGCCCGCAACGAGAAGGGGAAATTTTAAGTGTTCGAATTTTGTTTTGTTGCGTCGGGCTTGCCCAAGAAGACGTCAGTCCTTGTCACAGGGCCATTGCAGGAAAACACTTTCAGAACGGATCTACAAAGCCCCTAATATACGATGTATCTTTCTCTGCACTTGTGGGACGCAGAATGCTAGGGAACAGTATTGACAAGTCTGGACATTCAGTTGATCATGCTATTGGGCGGCGATTCGTCTCTCGACCTTGAAAAAGTGGCTTTCCAGGCATTTTATTTTCTCATGAGTTTTGCGCTTGCAGGATTCCACGTCGACTTGTGCGCATTTCACGGAATCCAGGTTTTTCGCAGCCATTGAGTGATTTCACGGCCAAAAGAAATCCTGACAGAACCCCACGCAGTCTGTCAGCCGGTGGTCAATTCAGACCTGCAAGGGCCTGCGCAGGACACGCGCGAGCGATTTTTTACGGCTCGCACGCCGCCGCCCCGCGTTCCGGAACGATGTTCTTGGCAAGATTACCTGCAATCAAAACCCGCAGAAGAAGCCAAACATAAAGAAAGCCGGGGTGCTCCTGGAAATCAATTTCCACTTCTTCGGGATGCCCGCAAGCACACCCTTAGTCAGCAGTGGCTTGCAGCGATCGTCCCAGGCGCGCTTCGCAAATTGCTGGTGTCAAGTTCACGTGGCTCTTGTGCCTCAAGCTCTCAAGTTTCAGAGGCCATCTCTGGGATTGTGGTTGGCCGATTTTGGGCGTGAACTCATGAAATTTCAGAACTGGCGCCCCCCGATTTTGTTTTTAGGCTTGTTGTGCTTTTTTGGGGGGGGGTGCGTGAACTTTCGTGAACTTGCGTGAAAAAGACTCTAAACTACGGTGTTTTGGCGTGAACTTGCGTGAACTTTCGTGAACCTTGGAATTCGCGGCCGATTTCCGGATATTCGCGGAATTGTGCGGCCATTTCTGCTCGCACCCATGGTTTCACCCATTTCGCGGCCATGTGTTAAAACGGCGCACGCCCCCGTAAAAGACGTTTGTTCGCATGTCCAAGTTAACCCTTTGAAGCCTTCCACTCTCTTACATTCACGCATCCGTGAGGGGTTTGGAGTTGAAACTTCGTGAGTTAAACCCGTCCAGCGTGCGAACCCTTGAAAACCTCAAATGGCCGTGAAACCCGTTTCTAGAGATGAATGATTGCCCAATCGTGAGCAAATGAATAATCACCGGGAATTGCGTAGCAATCCCTTGTTTTGAGCTGCGCCTTTTCGCAGAGTGAGAGTGGAAGGATTAGAAAAAGCGGACGCTATCCAAGAAACAATGCGAGAGTTGTGATGGTTAGCGCCAAGAATCAAGTAACCTAAGCCTTCGCGAGTACTTGATGATAGTGGGAAAAGAGGAAACGCATTGAGGACAATTGCTGAAAATACAAAAGCATCTGGTGCCGAAACACTCCCAAAAGGCTGTGCCACTTGCGGGTTATAATCTAACGGCAAATAGGCGGGCGAGTTGCTTCAGAAATCTTTGGAATGTCCGCGCGCCATTCTTTCTTAGGATTGGGTCGGTTGATCCCAAGGCGCGCAAGCTATCAGGGCAGGTGTGCGAACTAACCTCCCTCCACCGCTCTCGCCCCCCCTCCCTCCTGCCTGTTCTCCTTTTTGTTGGCTGCCAAGGTCGCGCTTTAAAGGCATACTTGCGTCGCTCGCTTGCGCTCACAGCTTTGCACTCATGCAACTGAACTCGGCGCGCCCTATTCGACACTGCGTTCTCTACAAAGAAATAGATCCAGCTTGACAAGTGTTTGGCCTTGGAAATTGCATGACGTCATCTTGCGTCGGCGCAGCCGATTGCGGCCTAAACTGTCATTGCGCCGCGGCTCGGCTAAGATTTTTTGGAACCCAGCTGGCCCATCCATTACGCACAGCCGCCGAATAACGACCCTTTGGCGCAATCTGCAAGATCCCAAGAGTTTGCTACGCAAGCACAAAAGCGATACATTAGCGCCTCGGGCTCTAAACTATGTAGTTTAGTGTCTTTTAGCCTCTCTTGGTACCTCCCATAGCTGGGGTAGTGAAGTGTAACACCCAGCACTTCCATTTATCCATATCATTGGTAATCCTGTGGTCCAGTGATTCTCTGCCTATGTAGGTAGCCTATCGGAAATCACCCAAGTCCCAAGTATTACCCTTTGATGGTTTTTGAGGGGGTACAGTAGAAGGTACTTGGGTGTGTCTTTTGTGACGGTACCCTTGTTTGGTCAGTTTGAAGGTGAAGTGCAAAAGGAAAACAGTCATTTTGCGGGGCCGCCTACAAAACGACACACCTAAGGAAGGGACAAGGACACTTGCCTGGCGGTCACAAGATGCACGGATGCGGTTTGGCACCATACTGTTTCTTGCGAAATGCAACGTCCCTCGCCGGCCTCAAACAAAGCATGAGAAGTTGTTCATTCCCGTTCAACCATGTCTGGCCTCTTCAACCATTCTCTTGATCCCCACCCCTTAAGAATGTAGTTAGGGGAGGGGGGTGATCCCTGCATTTCCATTTCTGGTTCCATTTTATATTTTTTTTATGGGGAAGACTACATAAATGGAAATGGGGGGCTTGTCCCCACCTCCCCTTATAGGGGGGCTTCTTTTCTTGGCATATGGGTGTGGCTCAAAATTAAGCAGGAGGGGCAAGCCGCAGGTTTCGGTCCATTCCACTTCCCGCTCGGGCCAGCGCCATTTTGGGGTCACCCAATTTTTTGAGCCATCAATGGAAAAGACTAGATCAATGGAAATATGGGGGGGGGGGGTTCTAATTACCCATAGATAACGAGGCCTCGTTTCTTGGCACATGAGTTGAGCCCACTGAGGCCGCTGAGCGTGTCTTGAGCTGAGTCTCACTGAGGCGGCTTTGAGGAAGCCACGGTCTCTTGCAGGAACACCGAGCGGGTCTACTTGAAGTCCCGCGCCGGCTTCATCAAGCGCCCGGGTGAATTTGGGGTGTGACTGTTTTTTTGGGGCTAGCTTCTTGGTTTGGTGATGATGAAACATGTTTTTTGGTTTTTTTGCAGGGGAACCAAGAGGAACAGTGATTTGGTCTGGCTTGTTTTGAGGCTACCCCCCGGATTTGGTGATGTTAAATATGTTAAAGACTTTGAAAAGGGAAGCCAACAGGAACAGTCTCGCTGTTTTTGAGGGTACCCTTGTTTTGACTTTAAAGGGACACCAAAAATTGTTTTTAATCATTTTGGGGAAAGAAGAATTCAACACGTGCCCTGGCCAGCCAAGAAACAGCCGCGAGGTTGGGCTTTGGGTTTCGGCTTGCCGAAACCCTCAGCTCAAAGCAGCGAGGGTTTCGGGAGCCTCGGTGCTGGTTTGGTTAGGGAAAGAGGAGACTTGCCATGTTTAGGTGAACCAATTCCTATTTTGGGGGTTTGTCCCCCCAAAGGAAGAAGACAAGAAACAGAAGCATACATTCGGATTTCCCCTTAACCAATTCCTCTTTTGCTTCGTGGCCGCCCTCCCTCCCCAAACCAAACCAGAAGCATGCTGTAGCGCCCTCCGTGTGCACATAATTCGTGGAGTGGACCCCCCCCAAACAAAAAAAAACAAAAGGTGGCGGTCCATATCCTGGTGTTTACTTTTGACCCATGCCCAGGTGTCCCTTTGGTTTCCCTCTTCATCCACCCTTTTGGCGCCCTGCAGCGACAAAAAAGTCGCCGTACAATGCTTCGCGAGGTATGCCCTGCGGCATGGCTACGACGTGGTGCCGTGCTTCACGGTGGGGGACTCCGACATGTTTTCGAACCCCCAGGGCGCCTGGAGGTTCCGCTGGTGGCTGAACCAGCTCTCGCGCCCTGGCCGGCAGGTCTCGAACTCGATGTTGGCTTTTTCTCGCACTCGATGTTTGGTTTTTTGTGCGCGGCTCGTCGGATGTTGTAGGTGGCCCTTACCCCAAAAACACCACCCCAAAATATGAAAATTTGCAGGGAACCCACCACAATTGTGGGTCAAACCCACCCAAAAAGGGGGTACTCAACAAAAGACACACCCTTTTGGCGACGACCAGGGAGTGATGGGTTGGGGGCCATTCCAAAGCCAGCAAGTTTTATGAGGTTTGACATGGTTTGAACGCACAAAGCGGCAAACGAGTTATGGGTGGCTCGTTTTTTGTGGCTTGGTACATTTTGGCCATCCCAAGCTGGTTCCCTCTTGGGAAAGGTCGGACGTTTAAAGTCAACCCATGCGCATGCCGCTGGTCACCGGAGGGTTTTTGATTGGCTATGTTTTTGACGTTTGCTTTGCTTCCGCCCCACGGATGTGCTGCCGTAAGAGCCACGAACTCTTTAGGACTGAGCAGATGGCCACAGCATGTCACTATTCAAAGGTTATACAGTTATGATACTCTCAACCTGCGTCACCTCCCCCTACATTCTCCATTCCCCGCCATTTTCATCTATCCGCCCGTCAAGGTTGCTTCCCTTCATGCGGTGGACACAGGTCCATTCAATATTCCCCGAAAAATGTATGGCGGAATCCCAAGAAGCGGGGACAGCGTCGGCGTTTCAAGGCTCCGACTCCCGGCCTCGTGACTGTAGGTGCCTCTGAGGAACTGGTCATGGGTTGCTTCGCAAGTCCCCGTCGTTTTTTACTTTCTGTTTTTTATATGGGCTTTGAATTCCCCGTTTGGTCTTCGTTCCAAGAAAGGCGGCGCGTGGGTTCGGGGGCCCGCGAAAGAGAAGAAGAAAGGAGAAGAACCGCCCGACTCAAAAAAAAAACAGGAAAAAGGGGGAGGGGGGGTTTCCCAAATTCCCCCCTCAAGCCAAAATTGGGGGGGGGGGGGGGTGTTTTCCCGTTCTGAGGATCAAGTAGGGAACTCACCGATTCCATAATAACTCAGACCGCATGTCTTGGATGCAACCTGACTCACTCCCACAACCGGAGAAAAGAGGCTTGAAACAAAGACATGGAAGGAAAAAACAAAAGGGCTTGGACAAAATCCATAGACCAACCTCAGCCTCGAGCGCGGAGGATCCCCGCGGTGCTGCCCTTCGGCTTCCCGCTGCTGCCGCTGCTGCCCAAGCGCGTGCCCGTGAAGCTGGCCATCGGCGAGGCGCGCGGGTTGAAGCGGGCGCGGGCGAGGAACTGGGCGAAGCGGGTTCTGCAGGGGGCAGGCGAAGGGCCAAGGGAAACCGAAGCGGGTGAGTTTGTTGCTGAGTCTTATATCTTTTTTGTTTGTAGAAGTTGAGGCTTCACAAGTCTGCGCAGGATTGGGCTAAAAGGGATGTGTCAAGGTTGGGGGGAATCGGGGGGTTTGGTTTAATTAACCCACTGTTGTGATGCCAAGGAACCTCCACCGGCAGAGAATTAAAGGCGCTGGGGTCGGGCCTGACAAGTATGGGTATTGTGGGTGGCCAAAATTCAGGTTCGCCTCGGCCAGGGGTCCCGAACCACCTCCCTGGCTGGATCCTTCAAAAGTGGATCGATGGATCGTTTCAATGGAACCCGCCATCAAATGAATCAGTCGTTTTGATTTGGGGAAATCCAGGCCCGTGTCTAGTGTGGCAAACAGAAGCTGATCTGGCGGGGTGCAAGAGTTCAAAAAGGATCGATGCGGCAGCTTTGGGGTCTTTGCCGGTGGGCCTGGGGCAATCCAGCCTCCAGTTGGAAATTTCGGGGCGCTGCATAGGATGGGTGGGTCTGAGGGGTTCCATGGCTGGCTTTTGTGTTGAAAGGTGCGGGGTCGTGCAAACAAGCTAGAAGGTAGTCTTCCAAGTGGACTCCAATAAGGATATGTTTATGAACAAGGATGCAAAGTAACCCATTCGCCCAAGTCGGGTTCGCGATGTAGGAACCAGGTGCTTTGTGGGATGCTGGTCCTTTTGGTGGCACAAGGTCATTCCCAGGTTGATCGCTAGACGTGCCAGCAGCGCACGGCTGTATAAGAAGAACATGCCACTCCGGGGTGTCAAAAGAAAGGGTACCCTCTCCGCCCGTGTAGCTGGTTCCTTTGCTCGAGCACCGGACAAGGTTGTGGGCTGTCCATTCCCTATCGGTTGTGCGGTTGTGCGGATTGATCGACTCGGCAAGAGTGGTTTGGGAGAACTGGTGTCGAGACCAAGGAACCCCTGTGATGGTGAACCAAAAGTCCGATTCTGGGGAGGCTGCACCTTCCATTGTTTTCCGAAAAAGAACTGCATTACTCATCCCCCCGCAAAAATAAAAGAACAACAGAACACCCCCCAAAACAAACACAAGCCCCCCCCGCCCCCCCCGCAAAAGCATGCAAAAGAAAAAGAAAGAGTACATACGTATATTATATATATACACAAATATATTAATACACATACTTGTACATATATATATATATATATTGCATATATACACATATGCATACATATATATGTATATACACATACATGCATATATATATATAGAGAACCAAACAACCAACGTAGAAGTTCTCTCCACACGGAGAGGCTCTGGAGATGCCCCACATCGCCAACCCCAGCCGCGCGGAGGTGGAGAAGCACCGCGCCAGGCGGGGCGGAACCGCGGCGGAACCTCGGCGATCGAGTCGCAAGCCAAGGCTTTGGGGTGGCCCATTTGAGGGTTGTCTATGTTTTTAATTTGTTGTCGTTTTTTTTGTTTTGCTGTTGTTGTTTTTTTCTTTTCGTTTTTCGTTGTTTTATTTTTTTGTTTGTCCCCCCCTGTTTGTTTTTGTGTTTTTGTTGGCCAGGTCCTTTGAGTGGGTCCCATCTTGTGAAGCGTTTGTTTTGGGAGAATTGAAGGCCAACAGGTCAATTGCCAAGAAGGTGGTTGCAGAACAGACGCCAAGTGTCCACATGTGTCCACCATATGGGTGGGTGGGACATCGCGTTGAGCTTGTTTCGGGGACTTGGAGAATTCGGGCTTGGTGTTTTTTCTGTTTGGTTTGCTTGATCCAATCGCCGCCTGTAACTGCCGCTGGTTGTTCATGCATCTTTGGGAACGCGTGAAGCGTGGGCATCTCCAAATGTGCAAGTCGTGTCCTTTCACAAACAGAACAACGATGTCCCTATTGCATGGATCTCCAGGGCCAATCCTATGCAAGGCAAGCATGCTTTTCAGATAGCATCATTGAGCCCAATTGTTCGTGTGACCGAGGTATAAATGCCAACCGCCTAAGTGTGCTTCGGTATTGTGACACTATCCCACTGCCAAAACAAGCAAGGCGATGATCCAAAAGAGATGTGTGTGTGTGTGTGGCAACGAGACTTGAACCCGACTCATTCGGGCTCGAGCTCTTCCGATAGTGCGTTTACCGCTACGCGGTGTTCAGCCAAGTCTCATGACTCAAAGGGCTCGCATTGTTTGAGCTTGGAACCGGCAAAGAAATCAGAGAGGCGGATCCTCATGCGGCATAGCTCCGGAAGCAAAGCGATGCGATGGTCGGCAGCCCCTAAGGGGTTGTAGACAGGTACAATCATTGTCATGCAGGGGACGAGTAGCCCACGTATTGGGTCAAAATTAACCCGCCAGGGTATGGACCACAGATTTTAGTTGGTTCCTTTCACCGAACGGGCAACCCATTTGTGGGGTTGCCGTATTCTTGATTCACGCCCATATATGGAGGTTTATCGTTGAGGTTCCCGCATCGCCCAAAAGCCCCACCCTTGCCTGTCGCGAGGCCTTTGGAGGCTCTGGGAGATTTCGCTTAGACCCCTGTAGACGATGGTGACACATGGAAACTGTGAGGAAGGGAAGCAGCAACACAATTCGAGTCCCCGAAATCTTTGACACGTATGGGTGTGACTCAAAGGGGAACCCCCCCAAAATGGCAGGTTGTCCTTGTTTGCCTTTAAAACCTTCTGTACCCCCCCCAAATTGGTTGGTTTCCCTGTTGGTTTCCCTTTACTCTACCCCCCAAAAACGGGAGAACACCGCTGGAATAGTTACCCGACACGCCGAGCAATCCCCGATGTCCGGCGACTCGCCGATTCGCCGATTCAGAGGTACGTGGCGGCCTTGAACGCGACCTACCGCGAAGCCGTGAAGGGCACTCGAAGCGAAGGCCGGCCACTGGAGGTTTGGTAGAACCCGTCCGCCCGTCCGGGGGTTTGCTGGGGCTCGGAGCGTCTTTTTCTGTGAGATGAGTCGCAGCAGGTAAGCAACTCGTGCGTGTTTGTTTGTTTTGTTTTTTAAGATTTCATTTTCCCTTTACCACCAAACACAGGGGTTCCGACTCAAAAAAAGACAGCCACGTGTGTCAGGGTTGCTGACTGTGTGTTTGGTTTCCTTTGTCCATTCACCAAATCTCTACCGCTCAAGCCCTTGCTGGTTGCCGGAACTGGAGGCCTCACCTTTCTATCCATGAGATGCCTGTTGTTGCTTACTCGGGTCCAAAGATATGACTGGTGTAGCTTCCCGCACCCCTGAAAAAGATCATTGAAGGGAAGCAGGAAAAGTATGTTAGAGGCTTTGGGGATGGCAAGAGCGACCTGGGTGTGGCAAAAATCCAAGTGCTAGGGCAAACCGCAGGTTTTAGTCTTTGGTTCCATTTACCGTTTGGTGCCATTTTGGTGCTTTTATGTACATTTATTTGAGCCACAGCCACCTTTAAGTCGAATTCATGTCTCGCCTTGCCTCGTTTCCGCAAGGGGCACCAGGCCCCAAGATGCCGCGTGGCCTCGAAGGAAAACCAAGAATCGGGCGGCGCGCAAATCGGGCGGCGAGACATGTCTCCATTCGGCGATAGATCAGAAGCTGCAGAATACGTCAGTTCTGCTGTAATCTATATGTGTATGTGCGTGTACATATGGCTACGAATTTTAATGGGGAACCACCTCACAAGTGTGACTTACATGTGGTTGGTGGGCATGAATCCCCATGTCCACCAAAGGATCCCTCATTGAAGTTGACACCGATCTCACGTTGGGGCTCTCTTTGGATAGAGGCCAACAAAGGCACACCAAGCATTCCTTCCCCAAAATTAGCTCCCTTTTTTTTTTTTGGGGGGGGGGGGGGGGGGGTTTTTTTTGGGTCCCTTGGTTTTCCACTAACCAGGCAACAAAAACATCTTTTTTTATTGCTGGGGTCCTAATTCCAGCCTAGATTTGTGGGGGCCCGGTTTGCGCTGAAACTCCCACGGCGAGTTCTCAACTTCCAGGTGTGCTAGAGCGATGCTGCTGTCATTGGGGGGGTCTAACATCGCAGAAGAGATTCAAATTCCCTGCAAAACGGGTTGCGCCTCTCAATTAGACTCAAGCCCAATGACGTATGTGCGTATTCATGTAAGTATATATATATATCTACATATGTATATATATATATATATATACATATATATATATATACACACGTGTGTGTTACTTTTTTGTTTTTGTTTGTACTTTCTTATTTATATGCTTACTTTTTTAGTTCTTGATTTGCTTATGTGTTTATAGATGTATTG